TATCCTGAAAGTAATTACGGCTAGCTTTTTAAGCTGGAATGAATAATTTATTAACTAACTATACCAAAAACGAATATGAACCCTGCTTGAAGGCTCACTTCGGCTTAAAAAGCTACCGAGTATTCAATTAATTTGTCACTGACCCCTTCAAATTTTTTCAGGCTTAGACGCAGTAGTGACACAATTGCTCGGCCAACTGGAGAACTCGGGCCCGCCGCCGCTGCCGCGCGAGCGTATCGCCGCGCTGCCTAGCGAGTGCATCACGCAGGAACAGGCCGACGCCAGCGCCGCCTGCTCCGTCTGCTGGGAGAACTTCCAGCTGGGTGAGCATCACACAATCAATTACCTACTACCTTTTATTTTTTACTAGCTGACCCGGCGAACTCTGTTCCGCCTTAAAGGCAGTAAATAAGCAAATTTTGACCGTTTAGACCTACCCTGGACTACAACAAACATTTTAAAACCAAAATCAGCTCTATCGGCCCAGCCGTTCTCGAGTTTTAATCTGACTAACGAACAGCAATTCATTTTTATTTATATAGATATAGATTTTTTACTACATTTTGACGTTCATAAGTGCCACTTGTGGTCTAAACTGAATAAATATTTTTGATTTTGATTTTGATTCTCTGCGTGATCGAATCAGCTACGAGCAGGAGAACCAAAGTGACCGGCATAGCTCGCAGAATTGCTAAAATCAAGTGGCAGTGGGCGTGGCACATAGCTCGCAGAGACGCGTTGGCCGTTGGTGCAGAAATGTTCTCGAGTGGCGTCCACGGGCTGGAAGACGTAGCGTGGGCAGGCCTCTTACTAGGTGGACCGACGATCTGGTGAAGGTCGCGGGAAGAACCTGGATGCGGGCAACGCAGGAACGTTCACTGTGGAAAACCTTGGGGAAGACCTATGTCCAGCAGTGGACGTCATTTGGCTGAAACGAGCACCACATACAGTATCAGTATCATACAGCATCATCAGCAGCAGGTTCAGATGCAGTATGACACAGCTACTGGGTTAGCTCCGTCTGCTGGGAGAACTTCCAGCTGGGTAGGGATCATACAGCAGCAGCAGTGACCCAGTTACTGGGCCAGCTGGACAACTCGGGTCCGCCAGCGCCGCCTGCTCCGTCTGCTGCGAGAACTTCCAGCTCGGTAGGGATCTTGAAATACTGGACACGAGTGGCTATAACCATGATCTTACCCCCCCTAGACAAAACTTCCAGCTGGGTGAGTATCATACAGCATCAATGGGACACAGCTACTGGGCCAGCTAGGCAACTTGGGCTGGCGCGCCCAGCGAGGCATCACGCAGGAGCAGGCCGACGCCAGCGCCGCCTGCTCCGTCTGCTGGGAGAACTTCCAGCTCGGTGAGCATCACACAATCAATTCACAATCAACCGCAGGAGAACCGAAGTGACTGGCATAGCTCGCAGAATTGCTAAAATCGAGTGGCAGTGGGCGGATCACATAGCTCGCAGAGATGATGGAGTCCATTGTGGAAAACCTTGGGGAAGACCTATGTCCAGCAGTGGACGTCATTTGGCTGAAACGAGCACCATACAGTATCAGTATCATACAGCATCATCAGCAGCAGGTTCAGATGCAGTATGACACAGCTACTGGGTTAGCCCCGTCTGCTGGGAGAACTTCCAGCTGGGTAGGGATCATACAGCAGCAGCAGTGACCCAGTTACTGGGCCAGCTGGACAACTCGGGTCCGCCAGCGCCGCCTGCTCCGTCTGCTGGGAGAATTTCCAGCTGGATGAGCATACAGCAGCAGCAGTGGGACACAGTGGGCCAGCTGGACAGCTCGGGCCCGCGCGCCCAGCGGGGCATCACGTAGGACCAAGCCGACGCCAGCGCCGCCTGCTCCGTCTGCTGGGAGAACTTCCAGCTGGGTAGGGATCATGAAATACTGGACAGGTTACATGTGGTCACTAGTTGGCTACACTAACGAGTGGCCATAACCATGACCTTAAACGACAACCCCCCTAGACAAAACTTCCAGCTGGGTGAGCATCATACAGCATCAATGGGACACAGCTACTGGGCCAACTGGGTAACTCGGGCCGGCGCGCCCAGCGAGGCATCACGCAGGACCAGGCCGACGCCAGCGCCGCCTGCTCCGTCGGCTGGGAGAACTTCCAGCTCGGTAGGGATCATGAAATACTGGACAGGTTACTAACCATGACCTTATACGACAAGTCCCTAGACAAAACTTCCAGCTGGGTGAGCATACAGCAGTAGCAGTGGGACACAGCTGCTGGGCCAGCTGGACAACTCGGGCGCGGGGCATCACGCAGGACCAGGCCGACGCCAGCGCCGCCTGCTCCGTCTGCTGGGAGAACTTCCAGCTCGGTAGGGATCATGCAATACTGGACAGGTTACATGTGGTCACTAGTTGGCGCCACTGGCGAGTGACCATGACCATAACCATCATGACCTAACATAGAACTTCCAGAGAACGAGACATCATAGAGTACCGGACAAGAGAGTATTACAGTTCGCTACTGTATTTGCTTGCATTCACTAGATAGCGTCACTGGCGCCTTCCTAAATCTAACATCTAGCTCGATGAGATACTAATGAGGGTTTTCGCGAATGAAAGATCCGCTAGATGGCGGAACGTGGATGTGGGGTCTGACTGCTGCGTGATTGGTGGATTGTGACATATCTGTCAATGTCATGTCAAAAATAACCAATCATGCAGCATTTGGACCTCGCGTCTACGTACGATTATTATTTTTCATTCGCGAAAACCCTCATTATGTCGGCTACTGTAATGTCAATGGCAAGTGACCGTGACTTTGACCATGACCATATTTGCCATACCTTCCCTAAATACCAGTTGGCGCCACTGTCCTGCGCACTATCGAGTAACAGAACCTTATTCGCCAATGGTCCGAATTGGTGACCGTAACTATTGTAGATCTCTATTTAAAGTAACTCTAAAACGTCAATTTTAAACTGGGCTTCAACCATCGCCGGCGATGGCGATCTGCACGCGTTGGTGTGGTTGAAGCATAAGACATGTGACATGTCGACGGTTGTCATCAGTGTTTTTCAACCTTTTTCAAGACGCGGGGGGTAGCATGAAAAAAATTTTTGCGACCCCCCGACCCTTCGCTTTTTTTTCATGCCTTTTACGAAGATGTTGCAGGGAACGAATTCTTCAATCTATACAACATTTATGCATTTGCATAATCAGATTTCGGATAAATCTAGCTTTAAAACTTTACTGTTTTTTTACTGAGGTAGTTTTTACGACCTCAGGTTGAAAAACACTGGTCTACATGGTCATACAATGTTTAAAAACATGTTTTTGCTCGTTCCAGGTGAGACAGTGTCCCGGCTAGAGTGCGACCACATATTCCACTCGTCGTGCATCACGCCGTGGCTGCAGCTGCACGCCACGTGTCCCATCTGCCGCCGCTCGCTGCTGCCGCAGGCCCCGCCCCCCGCGCAGGCGCCGCCCCCCGCCCAGGCGCCGCCCACCTCCGAGGCCTCGGGACGTGAGTACTTCAAGTTATTTGACTATACGTTACACTGGTCAGAATACGGACTTACACGTTACACTAGTAATGATTCCATGTTACACTAAAGTCCGGTCGCCGAGCACATAGAATTTCGTCCAATGACCCCAAGCTACCCATCCTTATCGCTCGCGCATAATTATAGCGCTGGCACACTCACTCGCCGCCCGT